CAGTTTGCGTGCCCGTGTGCACGCATTTCGAGGCACTCCATTTTCATCCATCGGCCTCTTATGTGAGTGTGGCTGAGGCTCTCTCATGTTAGTATAAGTCCATGTTGCATTCTATATGCCATTTCCATGCCATTGCATTGCGTATGCCATTGCCTCGGTTTGCGTGCCCGTGTGCACGCATTTCGAGGCACTTCATTTTCATCCATCGGCCTCTCATGTGAGTGTGGCTGAGGCTCTCTCATGTTAGTATAAGTCCACGTTGCATTCCATATGCCATTTTAGCCGTTGCATTGCATATGCCATTGCCTCGGTTTGCGTGCCCGTGTGCACGCATTTCGAGGCACTTCATTTTCATCCATCGGCCTCTCATGTGAGTGTGGCTGAGGCTCTCTCATGTTAGTATAAGTCCACGTTGCATTCCATATGCCATTTTAGCCGTTGCATTGCATATGCCATTGCCTCGGTTTGCGTGCCCGTGTGCACGCATTTCGAGGCACTTCATTTTCATCCATCGGCCTCTCATGTGAGTGTGGCTGAGGCTCTCTCATGTTAGTATAAGTCCACGTTGCATTCCATATGCCATTTTAGCCGTTGCATTGCATATGCCATTGCCTCGGTTTGCGTGCCCGTGTGCACGCATTTCGAGGCACTTCATTTTCATCCATCGGCCTCTCATGTGAGTGTGGCTGAGGCTCTCTCATGTTAGTATAAGTCCATGTTACATTTTCCATGCCATTTTTGCCATATTGCATTGCATATGCCATTGCCTCGGTTTGCGTGCCCGTGTGCACGCATTTCGAGGCACTTCATGCCAGCCTAGGGGCACTGTGATGAGGACGGTACGTGGAACTTACACCAAGCACCTTCATTGTGGGGTCCGCACCAAGGGTAGTGTCCGCTTCATCCTGTTCCTTTACGCGATCTTCCAGGGCTTGAGGATCAATCCTCCTCCTTTGCCTGTCAGGACTTTGAGAGTGACGAGGGATGCTATTCCGCCTTCCCCTGCCACTCCTCCTGGAGTTATGTTGTTGGGGCTCCAGATCTGCCATAGGAGGGACAGAGGGTAATCCTTCTCGCCTTGCGCCCCCGTCTGGAGTTAGCCCGTCGACGGCGGACTGCGGTAGTTCTTTAATGTGTGCCATTGATTGAGAAAGGGAGAAGCTTAGTCAAGAGGTTTTTGTTCTTGTCTGTTTGTTCCCACAGACGGCGCCAATTGTACGGGGAGGAAATAATTCTCCTCGTATAATCCTGTTGACCAAGTCCACGCTCCTCCGTACGACGTCGCTTTACCACCAGCCACCCCTCTTAATTTTTGATATTTATATTATTAATCCAATATATATAATGATTATGTTTGTTTCTTATAAAATTGTAGTACCGCACTCTTTAAATTATGTAAAATTCATATTTTTAACATTTTAAAAATTCTCTATTATATTCTTTAGCCATTCTTATATGAACTCTTAACTTGAGTTTGTTTAGTTAGTTATTTCTCTCTATTGTGGAACTCTTTGTTAAGTTGATAAGATTGAATTTTTTGATTATAGATTCAGTTGTTTATTTGTCCCTATTGCTGGGTTAATAGGTTTTAGTCATTGATAGTGAATTTATAAGTTATGTTGATATAAATTTCACGATAATTGTAATATTCCATTTCATTGTACGGGGAGGAAATAATTCTCCTCGTATAATCCTGTTGACCACGTCCACGCTCCTCCGTATGACGTCACTTTATCACCTGAAAACACGAACGTGAGCTAGCCGGCGGGTGTGTGCCGGAAACCTCTCCGATGCCTAAGTCAGTAAGCTTGACAAATAGACAAAGTTCTATGTGCTCAGAAAGAATTGTGTTCAATTACCTCCTCCAAGATGATGTTTGTGAGCTTTTATAAGTTTCTTGTGGCACAATCCTAATAGGACTTGTATTTCTCCATGCAGAGTCCTCCTAGGATTCATACTCCTAAGGATAATGCTTATCCTTTTACACCCTCCCCCACTGCTTAAACCAAGTGGGATGGTTTTCTCCATGGCCGAACTTCCATTTGACCGAAGTAAAACTGGCTATGCCGAGCCACAAAGTAGGCCAAACTATCCTTAGTTCAGCTTTTCCTTTTACTCTTCCTTATATCGGTTTCTCATCTGTTCAACCCATGGTGTATTTGGACCAAACCAACGACTCTCGACCGGTATAACTCCCAGACCGGTATACCTCTAAGGCCGACATAACTTCAAGGCCGGTCTAACTTCGAGTTGCCCCCAGACCGAAGTACATTTACAATCCTCTAACCGAAGTAACTTTATAATTCCTGAGCCGAAGTAATTTTACCTCCCTGGGCCGGAGTAACTTTGTTTCTCCTAGCCGGAGTAACCTGAGCCGGAGTAACCATTACGGCCCTTTTACTTAGTCCTTCGCACTTTGGGCCTCAAAGCCCAACTCGCAACTCGGCCCAATTTTTCCCAAAAATTACCCTCTCAGTTAAGTTGATAAGATTGAATTTTTTGATTGTAGATTCAGTTGTTTATTTGTCCCTATTGCTGGGTTAATAGGTTTTAGTCATTGATAGTAAATTTATAAGTTATGTTGATATAAATTTCACGATAATTGTAATATTCCATTTCATTGATTGACAATTTTTAAAAAAAATATAAATTTAATAATATCTTGATGTTACTTGTTATGGGAGGAAAAATTAATTTAATGTTATAATTAAGAAAAATGTTTGAGGGCTACAAAATCAGTAGCTCAAATGACTCGAAACTGCCAAAACGACGTCGTTTTGGCTTGTTTTGCGCCTAAAACGACGTCGTTTTGACAGTTTCGAGCCACTGAATTTCGGGCGACCAACCATTGTTGTATAATTAATGTGTGTCTCCTCTAAGATGAGGACTCTTTTAGGAAGTGGATCAAAAGTCACTTCTCAACTTTTAATTGATTTTGAGTCACCCCATATCTCACATTTTTTACACATTTTTTAAAAAGAGCAAAAAAAAAAAAAAGAGCCAAAAAATAATTTTTAACCATATTTCTAAAACAATCCCGAAATTCTGACTCCGTTACTGTCTAATTATATTGGAAATGATAAGTTTGAATTTCACTATTGTAAACGATGTTTCTGCTTTCATTTCTTTTATTTGTTGTCTGCGAATGTTTGGTTTGACAGATATTAACTTATTTTATTGGTTAAAAAAAATTCAAACTAAACCAAATCAAATCAAACTTTAAGTCTTATTAAATGGGGTTGGTTATATGAATTATTTTTTTTTTCACTGGACTCTATCAACAATTATTTGATTAAAAAAAATCATTTTACTAAATTTTTTTAACTCATTTGACAAATTCATTTCTCGTTAAAAATTTTACTTTAGCCATTTTCAAAAAATTAAAAAAGAGGAAAGAAATTTGTCAAATAAACTTACTTTTTTAGTATTAACTTTTTGATAGATTTATTTTTAACCAATAAATTAACATTTTATCTAACTCTAAAAAAAACTTAATTGTAAACATTAGCTCACTGTAATAATTGAAGTGATATTTTTTTAAAGTCCTCTTATGAAACTATTTTTTTTTTATTATAATTATGAATGATAAAATCATTTATTATATGTTATTTTCCAATTTTTTTAGTGAATCAAATATAAAAATAAATATTATGGTAAAATAATAATTTCTTTCCACTTTATTTTAGTGAACTAAACATAGTGTAAAATTATATTTAAATTATGAATTTAAATATATATTAATTTACTGAGGGAAATAAAAAGTAAGGAAAAAGAAAAAAGAAAAAAGAAAAAAGAAAAAAAGTGAGAAAAATAGAAGGAGAAAGTTTTTGATAAGAAGCATGAGGTCAGCCTCGTGTTAAAGTTGCTAAAAGCCCAACACGCGAAATGTGCTGGAAACTATGTCCCACGCATTTTAACACATGTTCGCCACGTAATTTTTATATGTGGGTAAAATAAATATTATGTGGTATATTTTATTATTGTGATTGAATTTAATAGATATGTAAAGAATAATAAAAAAATATATTCACCTATAATTGATAAAAAATAATATCACGTAATACTTTATTAATATAAAAAAAAAAAAAAAACCTTTTCATGTTCATGCGTAAACATCACACGCATTATCTCTTGTCTTTTCTCTTTATTACATTAACATTATGTTTGAATTATAAATGGGATAAAAATTTCAAAAATAAAAAGAAAAAAATATATTTAATTTACATTATCTACATATTTTCTTAAAAGTAAATTACAATTTAAATTCATAATACAAACTCAGCCTAAAAGAAAATATTTATTTTAAGGCCGTTATTAATATTGAATAGGGGTTGGATTTCCTTTTAGTCCAAGATCTGAACTGGAGGATATTGTCTCGGATTGTGTGACTCATCATGAATCTTATTTCGATAATTTAAATTATTTATTTTGTAGGACATTATTCCCCCCGCCAAAAAAAATTATTCATCTTGTTTGTTTTTAGTTTTTTAAAAACATTTTTCAAAAAATTTTACTTACTTATTTTTTGTATTTATTTTTATTTTTATTGAATTTTTTTTCACATTTTAAGATTTTTTTTTAATTTTTAGACACTCCTAACATAAACATACTTAAAAAATATAATTTTCGTGATTTTTTTATAAAAATTCACTAAATATCAAAAATATGAAAATTCGGTATATTTTTTATTTTTATTAATTTTTTAAAATATTTTTTCACAAATATTTTATTTTTTACACATATCTAAGTAAAATGCATCTAAAAAAATAAAAAAAATGTTTAAGATTTAAAAAATGTTCACTAAAAATAAAAAATCACAAAAAATAAAAAAATTTAGTTTTTTAAAAACGAAAACTAAATATACTGATTATTATTTTAAAATAAAAGAAATATTAATTTTTTTTATTAAATATCCGACAATCACACCATAATTTGATAAAAGATTTGAGAGGTCTACCACTACATCTACGTGTGACCAGCTGAGAAGTTAGGTTGAAGAAATTTTTGTATAACACGACACGACACGACCTTTTACTAACCATCTGTTAAAACCCAACTCATCAGCTAATCTCCATTATAGCGAAACTTGTTCACAAATTGGCTATGGCTACCAAGGAAGGACTGTATACGAATCCAATCTTCTTTCTCGTCTTCACTTTGTTCTTCATTGGTGGATTTGATTCGTCTCTTGTTGCAGGAGTCAGCACCCTCAGACATGGCGATCAGCTTAATTCCACCGACTCTCTCGTCTCCCAAGGTGGGAATTTCACATTAGGGTTCTTCACTATTCCACAAACCAATTACACTTATTTGGGCATTTGGTACACCAACGACGATCAATTCAACAGAGTTTGGGTTGCGAATAGAAACACCACTTTATTAAGCAATTCCAGTGTTCTCACCATTGACAACGCCACCGGAATTCTCCAAATCACCAGCGGAGGGAACACTGTTCTGAACCTTTCGGATCAAATCACCCGCAACGCAACCGCCACCCTCGAAGATTCCGGCAATTTTGTTCTCACCGATCATGAAAATGGCGATCGACGTTTGTGGGAGAGCTTTGATAACCCTACAGACACGCTTTTGCCCGGTATGAAACTAGGCTTTAACCTTGCAACTAGGAAGAACTGGTCTCTCACTTCCTGGTTCAGTGCTTCTTTCCCTGCTTCTGGAATCTTCACTATGAATTGGGAACCAAACCAAGAGTCCGGACAATTGGTAATTTATCGGCGAGGACAGCCTTATTGGACTAGCGGGAATCTGGAAAATCAAACTCAAACTTTTCCAAACATGTTAATGTTGAATGGTCCTCAGTCTCAAGACTATTGCTTCCTCAATTATATATCCAATAATGATGAGAAGTACTTCACTTTCAGTGGTTTAAATGGAAGTTTTTGGATGTTGAAGTTGGAATCAGATGGGGAAATTTATGAGGGTCCTAATCGTCTTTTGCTTGGACCGCTTAATTTTTGTTATGGGTATCAATCAGTTAATGAGGCTAATGGGTGTGTGATTTCAGAGTTGCCCAAGTGCCGAAGCAGTGATGATACGTTTCTGCAGAAGAGGGCAAGTTTTTTACCCATCAATGCTCGCAGTGATTATGATGATAATTCAAGCCTAAGCATTAGTGATTGTGCGCAAAGGTGCTGGAACAATTGCGATTGTGTTGGTTTTAATGTCAATAGCAATGGAACAGGTTGTATAACTTGGACCGGAAAGTTGGAGTATCAACAAGATAACATTACCGTGCCCATATACGTGCTGGTTCGAGGAAATTCATCTAAAGGTAAGTGTATCTCTATTGTCATTTGTGATTTGATCTGCATCTGGTCATGATCATAGAAAAATGTCAATTTAATATGATCCCATTATTAGATAGCAGTGATATGTTTGAGAATTTTTGTAGATGCATTCTGTTAAGCTGAATTTGCATAAACCAATTTGACAACTTTAGACAAGGCATACATATGAATTGAGAAACCACACCCCTGTTCCGGATGGAAATTATAGTGCTTTAGAATCCATGCTTCATCCCTGGCATTAAGGTGAAAATACTTCTTTTTGTTGTTGTTGATAATACAATGTACAATTTGGTACAATCTTGGTTGGTTGGGCTGAATATAGTACTAATTTAAGCTTGTCTTTAAGTTGCCTAGTGATTGCGCTCTATTAAGCACTCATATATACTTTTGTGACTCAAGCAGGGCAGTGGATAACTGCTGCTCAATGATAACTAGCCTACTGTAAATCCTAATTGCAAGCCATCCAAAGCATGGAAAGGTGGCAAAAAATACAGGGGATTTATTATAACAAAATTGGGATAAGCATTGGATTGTGATAATTCAAATAGCATACTAGTTGTGGCATAGCAACAATTGTGTGATACAAGAAGTGGTTACTGATAATTTTAGTAATGATTTTTGTGCAGCAAGTGCGGCAAAAACGTCGATATGGATAGTCATTGCACTGGCTATTTCTCTGTTTGTGCTCATTTAGGGCATCTTTGGCTACCAAAGAATGAGAAAGCATAGATTAGAAGGTATAAATGTCTTACAGTAGATACATTAGCCTAGTGATCGTTTATGTATGATGAATATTGTTGACACCATAAATAGTATATTATTATTACTATTATTATTATTGCAGGACAAGTGACACTTTCTTGGTCAATCAGGAGTTAAGAAAAGTTACAGAGTTAGTGGTCGTGCATGGTGGAACATAGAAGACAAGGTGGAAGAAGTTAAAGCAATATGATGAACAAAGTGACTTAGTGGAAGACATGGAGGGATATGTGGTATTGTGGGAATGAAGGTGGAAGAGTAGGTAGTTTTAGGTGGTTATTAGGTAGTTATTGTTGAAAGTTTTTTTCCTATAAATAGCCATTGATGGCTATATTTACGGACCCGGACCCAGAACCAGATCTAGAAATCAGTTTATTTATTTTATATTTTCTAGTCCTTTATTTCTAGTTTTTTACTTTCCTGCACTGCATTTCAAATTCCTAAGAGTATTTTTAAGTTAGTTTATTGCTATAACCCCCTTTGAAGTTGTAAAAGTGCGAAGGTACAATTGTAAACTCTTGTTTTCTTAATGAAATTTGATTTCTGATACTATTTCTTTCTCTTTCTTTTACTTCTGTGATCAGTCTTATGAATTTTCTCCTAAAACAAGCCACCGGTAAATGTCCTCTTCATTGAGGCTAAAAAGAACTTTGAAACAATCGTCTGATTAATTGGTTGTAAGAACTTATTGATCCTTGCTGGCACGCTCTAATTATGTTTCTAACCTTTGAAAGCAAAAAAAGTCAATATATATTATTAGCACCCCCAGCGGGACCACCATTACAATGGTTAGATGCAGACGACAAGGAGAAAATGAGCGCCTTGAGGAAGGCATAGAAGAAGAAATGACAAACTAATTGGATTTTGCCATTTAAATTTGTCAATATGAAATATGTTGGCGTGAAAGAAAAATTTTGGATCTTTAAAAAGAGATCCATTTTCTTGATGAAGAAAATTTCCAAGTTGTTTCTTTATTACCATATTATTTGGTAGAAGAAAAAATGCACTATTTAATTAGAGTAATTCATCAACTTGATATGAAAATTTGCCAATGGAGATATGAGTTATCAACCCTTTTTGTCAAGTCTTTAATAATTGAATTTTGTGGGGTTTTACAAAATGTTTTCAAGTCTTTTATGGCTGAAATTGGTGAAAAAAATAATTTCATCAATGGCTCGGGGAATTCAAGAACTCGCTTTTAACAAGCCAAATTATGAAATTAACATAATGAAAGAGCATGTTCTTGAGTCAAACATGGCTAAGAATGATATTCTATATATGGCTCGGGGGGTTCATACATTCATTTGTAGAGAGCCCAGTCATGAAAAGCTTGTTAGGGAGCATGTTTTTAATGAAATTTGGTTAAAAATGATGAGCAACCTACAGTTAGTAGATTTAAAATTTTTGATGATGTGGAAAATCTCAAAATATTTGAATTTCCAAAACCACCATATACCACTATCTTCATTGTTCAAATCCATTTTGGATTTGTGGTTCACATCAAAATTTAATTTTGATGAAACGATTAACAAAATATCAAAGTCTAGAAAATATATTTGTTGAGTTTTTTTATACATTTTCACAATGTGAAGCATGGAAATGACCAATAATAATGGTCCTGGCTATTTTCATGGTTATATATGAAATAGTGGCCAATACAAATTTACAGTTGGCCAAGGAAGAAGAAGCTCTATAGAAAACACAATGAGTTCACATGTTTGTTGTTTTCTATCATGCAATGTGAAAACCATCATTCTTGACCAAAAGCTAGTCTTTGATATGCATTAGACATTTTGGCTTTGTTGTTGGTCAACGTGTATGCTTCGAAAGCCCTTTTTGCCATAATTTTTTAGCTTCGAAGCACTCCATCTTGCATCAATAACAGTTTTGAAGAAAACAAATAATGGTGGTTGTGAACCTTCAAAGCTTTGCCGAGTATTTCGAAGGATGTAATTAGCCATTTGTTGGCACCTTCGACCTTCGAATGATGATTTTGGCCCTCTAGTAATACCTTTAGAGGATGACTTTCATCCTTTGAATTACAACTATTCAGGAATTCGAGAAGTCTCATAATTTTTTGTTATCATATTGGCTACTATCAATTGAGACATTTATTACATTTACATGGCGGTAAACTTCGAATCGTTTCAGAGTGGCTTCTGAGCATTCTGAATTAGCTTCGAAGTAGCTCCAAGGAGGCTTTAATATGTCTTTCTTTATAATGAACCTTCTAGTAAGCTTCAAAGGGTGCTAGAGAAGCTTTGAAGGATTCCAAAAGAGCTTCGAAGAGGGATTTTATAATAAACATAGTAGTGTTGCCATGCCATTAAAGTATTAGCCATGATTTTTGGACACCATACATAGTGAGTGTATGCATTCATTGATTACAAATTGGTGTCTCACGTTAAAATATTGAACTTGCCACCTAAGAAAGTACAAAGCTTCCACTCATGACCCATACCAAACATGATTGGTATGTATTGTGTCCAAATCAAATTGGTGCTTCTTGATTCGAATTGATCACATTAAAGCACTCATATTGAATTCGAAGCACATGCCTTCAGTGTAGTGTCCCTTCGAAGCACTTCATTGGTGCTGCTGTGGTATTTGAAACACTTTATTACTCATATCAGTTATGTGCTTGGTTCGACTCTTTAAAAATTCAAATAAACATAATTTTTAAAGCTCGCGGGGGGTAATATTGACACCATAAATAGTAATATTATTATTATTGCAGGACACGTGACATTTTCTTGATCAATCAGGAGTTAATAGAAGTTATAAAGTTACAAAGTTAGTAGTCTTCCATGGTGGAACATGGAAGACAAGGTGGAACAAGTTAAAGTACATGTGAAGAATATGATAAACAAAGAGGCTTAGTGGAAGACATGGAGGAAAATGTGGCATTATGTGAATGAAGATGGAAGAGTAGGTAGTTTTAGGTGGTTATTGGGTAGTTATTGCTGGACGTCTTTTCCTATAAATAGCCATTTATGGCTACATTTACGGACCGAGAACTAGATCTAGGAAGCAGTTTATTTACTTTACATTTTCCAGTCCATTATTTCCAGTCTTTTACTTTCCTGCACTGCATTTCAAATTCTTAGAAGTAACTCTAAGTTATTCTGTTGCTATAACCCCCTTTGAAGCTGTAAAAATGCGAAGGTACAATTGTAAACTCTTGTTTACTTAATGAAATTTGATATCTGACACTATTTCTTCCTTTTTCTTTTACTTTTGTGATCAGTCTTCTGAATTTTCTCTTAAACAAGTCACCAGTAAAAGTCCTCTTCATTGAGGCTAAAAAAAACTTCGAAGTAATCACTTGATTAATTAGTTGGCATTTACTATCTTTGTAAGGACTAATTGATCCTCGTTGGCACACTCTAATTACGTTTCTAACCTTCAAAAACCAAAAAAGCCAACATATATTTTTAGCACACCTAGTGGGACATGTTATAATGGCTAGACGTAGGAGGTAAGGAGAAAATGAACACCTCGAAGAATGAGACTGGGAGTGGATAGGGAAGGGCTAGGGTGGGTTAAGGACAGGATGATAATGATTGGGAAAAGTTTAAGAATAATAGGGGGGAAGTGAGTGAAAAGTTGCTATTAGAGTATCTCTAACGCTAAATTTGAGTAAAGATTTGATTAAAAGTTTTATTTGATAACAAATATTTTAATGTTAAATTTTTAATTTTCATCAAACAACCAGTCAATCGGGGCAGTGGTAGTTTGGCCTAATGTAAATTTTCTTCAAAAATTTTTCAATTCGGTCGTCCACCCGATTGCCCAACTGGTCAAGTTCGGTCAGTTGTCCACTCAGTTGATCGGCCAGTCATCCATCCGATCATCCACCAACGATCACTATTGAGATTTGATAAAAGGTTAAACGCTCCCTTAATTTAATGAAATTTTTAGTTTTCCTCTCATTTGATACGGGTTTGATGCCACGATTGGAGCCCAAAAAGTAGCGTGTTTCATCAAATTTAAATTTGATGACAAATCTAATACTAGGGTTGGAGATGGTTTAAGCCTCAATTATTTCTCTTTCGTTTGTTAATCTAAAGCTTACTAGCTGAGTACGATTTTGCCTAAATTTCTAAAGAGTGTATATATATATATATATATATAAAAAGGGTGAGGATTATGAAATTAATTTGAATGCCTTAGACTTGGCATTGTTATGTTTATTTTCATGAGTAGATGAGGGATTGTGTATATATATATTGTTACCTCGTTCTCAGGAGTCGACGAGTGCTTTGATTTACGCGTGTACCTATATACTAACCATCCGGGGAGTGTGGGTCAAACTCAGGACGATATCCCCGTGCAAGTTTGGCTTCGGAGTGGTGTTAGGTATACGAGAGGCACATGGGATATATGTGTAGACCGGAAGTGAAGGACCGAAGTGGTGGAGTTAAGGTACAAAGAATTAAATATGAATTTGTTGGTATTGTTTGCATTGTTTCGATTTGTACATCTTGAAAATAGTAAATGACCTTGATAAATTATGAAATTTGGGTGGAGGCATGTATACGTAATTCTAGACAACTTTTGTGTTTTAACTTTTTACTAAAAAGATCAATTAAAACTTGTAATTAGATGATCTTGGTTATAGTAGGTTTTATTCATTTTGGCAATACTGATTTTAGAGACTGTTTTAACCCACGAAACGAGCTCATTTTTATTGATTTTGCGAAAACTGAAGTAAAACATTATTCTGAACACTTTTTGTGTTTTGAACTTTTTCGAAAAAAATAATGTTAGGGAAGTTTCTTTTCTTTTTCAGTTCCAGATTTTTTGATCGAATTTTGTTTAGGATCTTCTATTAAGTTTTTCTCTCAACCTGTTCAGATTTTACTAAATTCGTCCGCATAGCATTTTAGAAAATTTGATTATGTACAACTTTGATTCTTTGAGTTTTGGTCAATTCGAATGATTTAAGTATGAAACAATGCGTTTTTATACTGCTTTGACAATTTACTTATGATTAAATTATATTAACTTTATTTTTTTTGCAGAATGGTTGGCCTTACTAACTTTTTTTGCAGGGTTGACCCACCATAGTTTTATGTTTATTTTGTTTATTCTATACTCAATTTATATTTAGTTGTGTACAGGTAAGAAACTAAATGCCACCGTATCTTGAGAAACTACCCCTTCGTTTCAGTGCGGGTGGAACTACTTGTCTTGTCCCGTAACAAGAATTAAATGTACTTTTATTTGTGTCTGGTGGACACGTGGGTGTCAAATATTTGTACCCATACCAGCATACTTCTATACTGACCTGTTTTGTCTTTTGGCAACTCGGGTGCGTTCTATTTGAGTGTAGCCGAGCTTTCTTTGTAGGATTAGTTGGGACTATGGTGGTGACGAGAAATAACTACAGTTGTTAGACATGTTGCTTGGACTTCTTTTGTTTTCTTGAGCTTAGAGTTGATATTAGTTTATATATTTATTATTTTTTTATGACCTTAGTATTTTGATAATTTGGCATGGTTTGTAATTTTACACTATTTAATTTGTTTTGACCATTTATTGTTACTTTA